TTTCTGATCAATGTACTGCTTCCCACCAACTCTCCACGATGTTCAGTAGATAGTCACTCACTTTTTCCGTCTCTAGTCAAACCTCCACGGACTTCAAGGGCAGCCATGATACCGTCTATATACATATCTGATTGAACCATTAGGCTTTTAGGGTTGTATGTAAATACCTGTCAAGAGTTAGATCCAAGATGGAGTGGGATTTAGGTTAAGATATTTCTAAACTACATGATTGTACTCAAGGTATCAGTCAATGAGTAGCATCACCAACATCCTTAAGCCATTAAGAAAACTGATATTAAATAAACACTCATCTGAAAAGCACCAAACCTCAGTGTGAACGCCTCGAACAACACATGGTCCTGTTTCTCTCCATAGGTGACAATTGGCTTGATTCCGATGTGGCCTATGTACACATGAGTTGATTGCTTGAATATAAAATATAAGGAACCCTAACCTATAAATACACAGTAACAACAAGCTTAAAAGCACAGCAGGATGGTTACTTCTTCTTCTGTGGTTTCTAATCAAAGTCACCCGATGGCATCTTTGGGTGAATTGCAAAAGAGACTCTTAATCCCTCTGAGGAACGTGGTGTAAGAGCCCTGTTACAAACCACATCTGCAATACAAGATTAACTTGTTTTAAACACTCCACTGATGTGTCTTTTTGTGCCTGTCCAACCAGTGTTCAAGTCCACTAACAAACATACCAACAACTCAACCATCATGATGTATCAAACACTTCAAATGCCTATTCCTTTCTGGTGAAGGTCAAGTACCGTAAAAACTCATTTTAACAACTTAATTTATGTTAGAAAGCACTTCAAAAAGTTCGCAAGAAGGCCTCAAAAAACTTGAAAAACTCCACAGAACAAGCTAACCAAGAGGAAACACAATTTGTAACTTTGCTTTGAATTATTTGAAAGAAGTAATTCATGCAGAAACACACAAAGCAATGAGTAACAGCGTCAGTTACTCACACACCTCTCTCTTTCTCCCAGTGTTAGTCATCCATTGCAGAGCCATTCAATTCAAATCTTCTTTTCAAGCCGTTCACTCATCCTCGACCGGCTCACACACTCTTATCTGCTCCCTCTCTCTGTCTGTCTCCTGTGAGTGTGTGAAGCGACGGAGAGCAGGAGGCCACACCCAACATGTTGATCAGATTAGAGGGCAGCCATAACTCCAGACCTCCTCCTCCTCTTTTCCTTCCCTTCATCTCTCTCCCCCGCCAACTCCAAACCTCATCCTCTCCTCCCTTCAGCTACTGAAGTACATATACTGGAGAAAACTTTAATGTAGGAAGAATGAAAATGAGAATAAGGAGGCAGAAAGGAAGCACCAGGAGGGTAGTATCATTTCTGATCAACCATTTAAAGGTCCCATGTCATGCTTTTCTGGTTATCACCCATCCCCTTGTGTGTTATGAAGGTTTCTCTGCATGTAGACGGTCTGCAGAGTCACTAAACCCTCAAAGTACACCCTGTAGCGAGTAAAACTCTAACACAGAAAAGACCTGTCTATGCTGCCCCAGAACGCCTCGTTGGAGATTTCTCTTTTTCCATTGTTTACTTCTTGGGTATAGTGACGTATTTCGGGTATAGTGACGTAACGTAACGTCCAAATGGACCAATCTGCGGAGCCGTTACGTTACGTCCACAGAGCCGTTACGTTTGGACCAATCTGCGGAGCCGTTACGTTTGGACCAATCCGCGGACTTCCTCACATACAAACACACGGCGGGACGTTGCGAGGCTCACTGCTGTGGGGTCGGCGAGACAGCGAGACACCGCGGAACTCAGCCTGGGCACACACGCAAACTCCCAGCCAGGCTGCGGGTGTGTGTGTGTTCGGGCTGGGTTTCACTGTGTCTCGCTGTCTCGCAGACGGCCACTGGGCTCACAGGGGGGGGGGGGGGCAGGAGCTCCAACAAGCCGTTTAGGCCAGAGAGTGAATACACATACTATACAGAGATGCTGTATGAGAAACCAATGTGACTTTGGAACATTGCACAATATAAATGTATTCTAGTAGACCTCAACAATGGAATTATGATCAGTAGAAATGGCCATGACATGGGACCTTTAAATCAAAGTTCAGGAAATGTCTATATCTGACTTTTATTAGTTCAGTTTGATGAGTTTTCTTTTTAGATTAAAAACAAACTTTCATGGTTGCTTGTTGATCTTACAAAAGGTTGTATAGGAATATAGTAAATTGTATCTGTATATGTACTTGTATGACATTTTGTTTCTATTATTTTTGGGGATTATGTTTTTATTCCAGCCCCTGTAAATGACTTAAAGGGGACCTATCATGCAAAATGCACTTTTAAATATGTGTCCCCGGTGTGTCGGGGAACTCACGCAGCGTCAGAAAATTAAACCCTCTCTCATTTCCTCCGTACCCAAATCTCTAAAAACGGGGGAACAACGGAGCTGATTCAGATTTGCGTCCGATATGACGTAATATCGGAAATGTGGACCCACGGCACTATCAGAAAGTTGCTATCAGAAACAATGCCCGACTGTTTTGGACGTAATATGGTCGGTGTTTACATTAGCATCGCTAACACTCAGAGCTAACCTGTACTGGAGAGCATGTGTGTGAAGAAGCAGGAAATAAAAAGGAACTCACCTTGTGGTATAACCGGCAAGAGAGAAAGCCTTTGAGCTCCATACTGTTTCAGAATATCCTTGATAATCCATGATATGGCGTTTCATCACGGCAGTATTTAGTTTAGACAGTAGCTGCCGGGTCCCGCATGAGCTCAGACCCCTCCTTTTATTTATTTTTTAAAGCTTTATACCCAAAATCAGCACTTTTGAAACAGGAAGTGAAATAGAGGGATATGAGGCATGGCTAGAATGGGTGATCTGTTTGGTATTTTGAGCAAAACACTTCATAGACATGTTTTTATATATTTGTATATATCTGAGACCTATGCTATTGCCTCAAAATAGCATGATAGGTGACCTTTAAATTCATACCTCGGGACTTGAAATTATTATTATTTATTAAATACTTTTTTAAACTTTAACATTTAAGGTCCAGCTCAAAAAACAACCTTATTAATTTGGCTTTTGAATGATTTGTATTTATTCCTATTTTAATTATCCTGTTGGTATTAAGTGTTATTTATGAACAAGCTATGTGTTTCTCTGTTTAGTAGATGTGCACGGTTACTGCTACTTTAGTTTATTTGTATAACTTGTGGTTTATGAAGCATTTAATGTTTCCTTCTGTGTATGAAAAGTATAGTACAAATATTTGATTTGTAGGTTTTTCGCTATTTAAAGTTTTGTCTTTGACCAAAAAACAATGTAATGTCACTAAAATAATACAAATGTTGAAAATATCTGTTTTTTTTTTACTGCACATATTTTACATGTAAATACTGCTTTATTTTATTTTACGACACCAAGTCAAATTCCTCGTACGCGTCAAGCTACCTGGTGATAAACCCGTTTCTGATTCTGAAATAAAAACAGACGCAGACTTCTCGTTCTCCTCACCCAGACTTGTGTCTCCCCCTCATCATGGCGGCCGGTTCTCTCTTCACTCCCTGGTCGAACATGGGGTCCACGAACTTAAAGATGTGCGCAGAGCCGAACTGGAGAGTGGACCCTGAACGCAGCACGGTGGTCTCCGTGACTCGCTGCCCGTCCACGAAGGTGTCGGCGTCGGGGCCGTGCGGCGTCACCGTCACCATGCCCTCGCTGTGCATCAGGTTGCAGTGGTGAGGGAGGATGCCCGGGCCCAGCAGCTAAACACAAACAACAACAACAACAGGGACGGTTATACATATTACGGATACTATTATTAATTGCCAAGAAGACGATAACTGTGAATGGGAAAAACGTAAAACCTCCGACAATTATTCAGTGGAGGCACAGACTTCAACAGGTCTACACAATGGGAAAGATGACGGCAAGTCTACAAATGAGAATGGACTCCTTTATCAAAAGGTGGAACGGTGTTAAAAGATATCTGGATGTCTAGCTAGTTGAAAAGGGTTGTTTTGACTTAATTGAGTTTCAAAAGAACATTATGGAAAATGTCCCCGTGTAACCGTGTAACCGTGTAACCGGTCCTGCTAAAGATGTCAATCCTTGTGTAAAATGCTTTTATTTATTTGTATTTACTTGACTATTATTCATTTATTTTTTATAATTATCTTACTTATTTCCCTTATTTAACTTGTAACTATTTTACAAGTACTTAGATATTTTACTTTAGAAAAAGTAGTAATACCACAGTGTACTCCGTTAGAAGTAGATGTGTGGCATTCAAAATATTGCTTAAAGGGGACCTATCATGCAAAATGCACTTTTTGATGTCTTTTATACATAAACATGTGTCCCCGGTGTGTCAGGGAACTCACGCAGCGTCAGAAAATAAAACCCTCTCTCATTTCCTCCGTACCAAATCTCTAAAAACGGGGGGTACAACGGAGCTGATCCAGATTTGCGTCCGATATGACGTAATATCTGAAATGTGGACCCACGGCCCATATCAGAAACGTTGCTATCAGAAACAATGCCCGACTGTTTGGACGTAATATGGTCGGTGTTTACATTAGCATCGCTAACACTCAGAGCTAACCTGTACTGGAGAGCATGTGTGTGAAGAAGCAGGAAATAAAAAGGAACTCACCTTGTGGTATAACCGGCAAGAGAGAAAGCCTTTGAGCTCCATACTGTTCAGAAAGAATCCTTGATAATCCATGATATGGCGTTTCATCACGGCAGCATTTAGTTTAGACAGTAGCTGCCGGGTCCCACATGAGCTCAGACCCCTCCTTTTTTATTTTAAAGCTTTATACCCCAAATCAGCACTTTTGAAACAGGAAGTGAAATGGAGGGATATGAGGCATGGCTAGAATGGGTAATCTATTTGGTATTTTGAGCAAAACACTTCATAGACATGTTTTTTATATATTTGTATATACCTGAGACCTATGCTATTGCCTAAAAATAGCATGATAGGTGACCTTTAAGTAAAATATCAAAAGTATGGGCATTAAGAAATACCTAAAGCACCAAGAAGTAGAGGTACCTATGTAGAATGGCAATTATTCGTAACAATATGATATTTATCAAAGAATTTAAATTAGTGATCCATTAATGTGTACATCGATTTAAAAGTACCTCCAAACTGTACATAATAAAATACTTGTGTGAATGTATTTAGTTACTTTTCACCACTGCCTATGACCTGGAAGTCTGTATATAGTGTGTATTACCTCACACATAACGGTGTGTTTTCTTTTTAATGTATTTACCTGGATGGCTCCGTCGGCTGTGCAGTCGGAGCCGACCTCCGTGATGCTGTGCTGGAGTCGGTACAGCTTTGGTTTGTCTCGCGAATCAGACCCGTCTACACACACACACACACACACACAAACACACACATTTAGCACAGGGCACATCGTCCTCACATCACAAGAAGTACTGTAACATACACGTTCAGGATCACACACTCATATTGACCTCGACTCACAGCGACAGCACAGAATCCATTCATCAAGTCAACAGGAAACAGTCAATATAGATTGGAATATACTCTCATATAAACTACTAAATAGGTGTGGGCAGCTGGTGGGGCTGCAGAGGAATTATTTATTATTAGTAATCAGGAGTTTAGTGAAAGCAAAGCAGCATATTAGTTCACTGAAGGAAAAGGGGAAAAAGTGGCTGGGGGTCAAATCTGGAAAAAATGAATGAGTATCAGAAAAACCTCAAAACCACCTTCTAAAAATAATACAGAAAATATGAAAAGACTACCAGGTCAGCTTGGCCTTTTACACATCAATAACAATCCTTTATAGAATAGAGGAAGGACTGAATGAGGGATTTCACTAGAACTGGCAATACAAATAAACACAGTTTAAAAAAAGGCACAATGAGTAGGATTTTCTTTTTTTAAATAACCAACTTTCTTTCAAATGTCATTTTCTAGGAATCTATAAAAACTCAAAAAATAGCACACATCCAAGAGGAAGCTGCAAAAATGGCGGACACAGCGCCTCAAAGACTAGTTCGAAGACAAGAGTGGATGTAGGATTGACCTTTACCCAATGGGGATCAACGTTAGAATCATTCAGCCTGCGATGCGGGGCCAAATGTATAACCGAAAAACCCTCTCATTGTGCCTTAAAACAAAAAAAAGGGAACTAAAATCTAAATATGCTAAAGTTGCACCTAAAGGACTACAAATACAACACAGACACCACATTAAGCGAAGGGAGGGGGGGGGGGGGGTGTTCGATCACAAAGGCTGGATAGGGGGGGGAGTCAGGGCAGGGTCACTGCACCCCCTCCCAAAAATCCCATCAGCCACTGCAACAGACACAGAGGAAGAGTGGTGGATCGTTTTACCTTCGTGGTGCCGATAGGCGTAGTAGGCATAGTGATTCCCTCGCCCTGGGCAAACAGGCAGGCAGGTGCAGAGGAGGAAGGACACATGCACAAGGCCCCCCACACACACACACGCACGCACGCACACACCAACACAAAATGCCATAAAGAGGAGGGAAAGAAAGCAGACATAGCAGAGGGTGAAAATGCAGCAAGGAGGAAAAATGCAGCATTACCTTGTTAACCCATTAAATGCATGGAGGCATACAAACACACACACTCTCACAAACACACACACAAACACACACTCTCACAAACACACACTCATAAGGAATATTTCTGGGGGTCTTACAAGATCTATATATTTTTTTTAAAGCAAGACTGATGAACCCAAATTAACTTTTAACACGTCTGCCTCACTGAGGTCACTTTGGCTTTTAGCGAAGGGTTCCAGATATTAAAATAATGCTAATCATGTGTAATTACTCATTTTTATTAGGCCTTAAACACACTTATTTATGTTATTAAAACTATGAGTTCTGGTTCCAATATGTTCATATTTTATTTTATTTGGCAGGGATGGATGAAACTAATAACCTACCATTAATGTAGAAATATAAATAGATAGCCCTGACAGACAACTAATCTTCTATCCCTTGCCCGTGAAACACACACACACACCCACAAACCACACCACACACACACACACAACACACAACACACACACAACACACACACACACACACACACACACACACACACACACACCACCACACACACACACACACACACACACACACACACACACACACACACACACACACACACACACACACACACACACACACACACACACACGAACTATGGAAGTAGATGTGGTTCCCTCAGATTAGACCCTGTGGTTTTCCCCAATATTAACATCTACTGCTGAGAAGAGTTAGGGTCTCCATCAGGGCAGATCAATTAATGAACATGGGCGAATGACAGACAAAAAAGAAGATAAAGAGAGAGAGGGTCAGTAGCGAGAAAAAGCGGTTAGGGCTGCACTTAGCAAGACTCAGGTCAGGTGTTCACAAAATGCTCCTCCAGGTGTGGCTGTTGGTTTAGGATCATAACAATGTCTCCCATACTGGGATTTCTTTACTGCATTCCCACTTACCTTTGTGTACTCCAAGACATCAACCGGGCAAATGTACTTCTAATGTACACAAGTCATTCCCCTCCATTTCTCACAGGATGAATACAATTCATATTTAGCTCTGTTGTCATTTGTTGTGCTCTTTACATCATTCACGTCAGTAATATACAGAACCATAGCAATGCAAGATACATCAACATCATCAGGTGCTTTTTAAATCTGTTTTCGCAACTCTACACCTGGGGTTCTGGCATGTTCTAGATTAGATATACTATATTTCTTACTTAAAGGGGACCTATCATGCAAAATGCACTTTTGTACGTCTTTCTACATGAATATGTGTCCCCGGTGTTCCAGGGAACTCACCAAGTGTCAGAAAACACAACCCTCTCTATTTTCCTCCATACCCAAATCTCTAAAAAAGGGGCTGCAACGGATCTGATAAAAACTGATCCAGATTTGAACACTGTCCTGACGTCAGGACGGTTTGGCGCTACGGCTATGGGCCAACTCCACCAATCAGGAGGAGACAGCCACGGCCATTGCCGTTCTAAAGCGCTGGAGACGTTGTAGTACATATGCCAGGCCTGTAGGTGGTGCTGTTCTCACAGAATCAACCCTTGCTAAAACAGGATAAAAAATGTCAATTGAGCAAATGAGGCACATGGCTAAAATGCATATCTGTTTTGGTATTTTTGAAACAGACAAAAAGTATAAATTGGCCTTATATAGGTATGGTTCCTCACCGTATGAATTATATTCAACTACTAGCCATGAGTAGTTCCACTTTAAGGAACAGCTGCATTCAAAAAGGCTATATTGCCGTGATTCAATCACATCTCCCTTAGATTAATTTTGACCTTTCAATCTGAGATATTTCTCTCAAAAATTAAGTATTTAAGTAGTAAGCCGTATTAGTGCTTGAAGGTAAAAGGAAGTCATTAAACCTAGTTAGAATTAGAAGATTGCTTCAACTAATAACAAGAACTAATTTAAGAAACTGTTAAAAGGTAATAATGCCATTGAATCCAGTGCTTTTTTTTTTGTGACCTGTAAAATACTGAAATAATATCTGTTCTGGACGCTTCAAGGTCTCATAATGAAGCCGCCGCAGCAGCAGTTGAATTTAACATCAGGCGGAGACACCATAATGCTCAGGTGAATGCAGCTATCTGGGATCTGCTGCCTCAGCGATTCCTGACCTCCTGCTGTGAGTTTTATGTAGAGAGGAAGTCCTCTGGTAGGAGCAGAACCCACAGAACAGCTGGAAGCCATCACACATGTGGTTCACTCACATTAAAGGAAGACAGCCTCACCTTTGAGTAACCCTGAGAGTTAATTACTGCCGCCTGCTGGCCAATACCTGAATAACAGCTACTGCTACCAGGGTTCACTTCATACAGCTGCATTTCAAATGAAGCTCATTGAGAGAAGCAAAGAGTGTGAAAAGCATCAAGGCAAAAGGGGGCTACTTTGAAGACCTTAAAATATAAATCATATTCTGGTTTATTTAACACTTTTTTGTTTACTACATAATTCCATATGTGTTCTTTCACAGTTTTGATGTCTTCAGTATTAATCTACAATGTAGAAAATAATTAAAATAAATGTGAATGTGACGTGTGTCCAAACTTTTGACTGGTACTGTACATAAACCAGAAATGAGGAATTTATACTCATTGCAATCAATGTCTCATATCATTATATTGTGTTTTATTTAACAGCTGTTCCTAATACCTTAGTTTGTATGTTTTGTGATCATGATTTTTAAATGTTTAGCTAGCTTCGATTTTGGTTTATTAATGTTTGTGTAGTTTGAACACCACGGTTATATTGAAAATCCAGCTTTTTTCCATGAGTAAATTCCAATTCAAGCATATATCTAACTTTGAAAACATACCTTACACTAACCCTGTGTTACAAGTACAACTAATAGATACTAGAGCTAGAGAGCAGACATGAAGGTGTTATTTCGGTGTGTGTACCTGGGCTCAGCTCCACCAGGTAAGGCAGTTTTTCGGGCGGCAGAGAGCTTGTTGCTCCGTCTCTCCTCAGAACTCCTTTATCGTCCCCTTTCCTCCCCTTCCTCGCCTGGTAGTCGGGGGGGTCTCTTCTTCAGCTGGAACACTAGCACACCTGAAACACAACATATAACGTTGACTCGAACTGTCACCAAAAAGTAATTCAAAATAACTAATCTTCTTCTTACTTAGGGGAGTCTGTTTGTTAGCAAAAGCACAGTTTGGACAACGCGAGACATCTTAGGTAACAATAGCTAAGCTGTCTTTGGCTCTTCTCTGCTGTAACAATGTAAATGTCCCTCTGTGGGGACTAATAAAGGTATTCTGATTCCGATTGCAAGAACAAGAAGTAGTGATTAGCCGTTGTAATGACTATGAACCATCAAAAGGGGGCAGTAGCGGCCAAGAAATGAGGAACAGAGAAGAAAACGAGGAATCGGAAACTATAAATTGTGAAAGATGGGAGCGGTGTGGTGTGTGTGT